ACTGATATCGTACTGTTACGGTAAATATTTTGTTCGGGTTTCGTGTGTACCGAATGTCGGGGTGRACTAGCTTCGGTAGTAGCAACTCGAATTGCAGGGCCCGTAATCTGAACTTTTACACGAGACGTATGGCCAGAAATTCCGGACATTTGAGCCCGGAACGAGTCAGTGGGTTTTCCCACCAAAATAGAGCTTTCTACAAGTTCCCTTGAGGTTTGAACTTTTGAAGATCAAATTTTCTACTCTTGTGCAACGATCCTTTATCTTAACCCCAATACTGGGCTAAAATCGAAACGTTCAAAACATCGACAAACGAGTATTGGGATAGCACGTTCTGATCCTTGAGTTCATTAGTGGCTTGTAAGGTGGTCGTTTGGAATGTTCATAGTGTAAATAATATTGTTTGCTGGAACACACGTTTCCCTCAGGTATTTTAAACAATGATCATCAGTTGATATTGTGATCTTTTGTTTATACTTTTAAGGAATTTAAAAGGTCTGACATTGTTTACAATAAATAGCGTAGACTTGCATCTTTCGTTCGTATTTCCCGCTATTCACCACTGCGCGCAAGGCGCCAGTAAAAACCGCCAAAATTAAAGCAGTCCCAGTCTGAAAGCCACGTTTCTAAGGATTATTTTGGTACCAAACATGGCGTATAAAATGAAAAGAAAATGGAAGATCGAGGCCAATTATTCGCGTGAAACACGCGTCCTCGCCAGCCATTTCAGCGTCAAGTTAGTGTTTTCAAATTGTGCGATTTCTAGTACCAAAAAGGACGCTGTTGATCGTCTTCAAAATAGCTGAAAATCGCTGTGTTCCTACCTCATTATGTGGACTTTGAGAAATGATCTATGGAATATCAGTGACATGTAAAGGAACACGATCAGCTACGGTGAAATTTCGCTTCTTCGCGAATTTTCACCATGAGATACAAGGCCAAAGGGAGACGACGAAAGGAAAATAAATTGTCGAAAAGGACTCGCTGTTAACAATATTGGATTTATTTGGATTTCCTACAGTGGAATCAAGAATAGTTTCCCTCTACGAATTCATCTATGGAATCTTTCCAGTTAAAGCAGATGAAATGTTATTCTCAAATATTTTTTTTGATCCATACATTTCTTTGTAAAATTTACAAACATGTTTTTATGTATTTATGCGAAGTACCGCTGCGTTGCGGGCTCAAATGTCCGGATTTTCTGGCCATGCGGCACGAGACTTGGACACAGAGCACGAAGTAAATTCTGGTTTAAATCTTGCTTTAATCTGGTAGCTAGCGTTCGCTAGATGGTCTCTTGACTAGCAAAACATCTGTGTAAAACATCTCCAGTAGAGTTTGTTCCACATGAAGTGGATTTTTTTGTCAAATCAGTTCTTTCATAAGAATCAAGCAATTTGCTTGGGTTAATTTAACATTGCACCCCAATTTACGATTCTTGTGCAGAATTGAATATATTGGTAGCGCGTAGCTTTTAATACTTGGACATGAGTTGTTAAGTTTTTCTCTTTTTTTCTTGTTCTGATTCTCCAATTTTGTCGTATCTACCAGCTTAAGTGTACATAATCGACGTTCGGATCTCTCGCTAAATCCAACCGACATTGTGCCATTCAAACGCTTGTTCAATATATAGGGCTGAAAACACTTACTAGATTAGAATCATTTGGTTAATAAAAGTTAATCTGGTATAACAAACTGCTAATCATCAGATCTCTTTTTAAGTGAATGATCAACTGCTGCAAGATATGTCAGTTTTTCTAAAAAATCTAGACAAAGTAAAACCCCGAGTACAAGAGGGCCTAGATTTCGACTTTCATTTGTATCACCCTAGAAGTCAACCTGATGATGGATCTATTGATCCGAAACTCTGAAAATCAATCATTTTAATTACGTATACGAATCTGTTATTTATACGAATTATTACGATGTATGTTGTTGCATTATCCTGCAATGTAATTGAAGGACTCTCTTACCATCTCTCTATCGGACTTTGCACACGGCACAGCAGCGCAAATAAAATCAAATCAAATCAAATCTTTGTTTTTGCGTTCGGATTTTATCTTTGAATTTTCAACTATTTTACAACAAAATTGTATAAGATTGTAGTTYTTAGCAATCAGTTTTTCACTGTTTAACTAATATCACTCTAAACTATACAAACTAATGGTAGAACTATTGATGTTTATTAACTTTATTTTTTTATGAACTTTGTATTAATGCGCAAGATTTTTTCGATTAAGAAATGGATATGTAGATTCCATATAACGCACCTTTTTATGTGATATGGAATAAAATATGCTTGCAAATGAAAATTGTGTGCCAACTTCTTCGCCGGAAATATATATTRCACCAAAAATCGCAGCAAGAATTGACAGTGTAAAAGGGTAAGGAATAACCCATTGTGGCTCGATCTTGTGATATAGAACAGGTGAGTTGATGTAGACCACATGAGAAGAAAAAGAAACAGAGCATGACCTCTTGAGCTTTCATTCTCGAACCCTATTTATTTATCTATACATGGTGCGCATGCTCTCTATCTCGTAACTATGATAGATCATGTTCGAAGGCTCAAGACGAGATAGAACACATTGGTCCGTCATCTTCCAAACCAGGAGGAAATTTCTCGGAATTCTAAAGTTTACTGGTMATCAATATCAAATATATTGAATTTTATTGATAAACAATATGTCACTATTACACTACACCATGGCAAACACTATAACACGCTTTTTTCTTGATTACACAGTATTACAGTTCAGTGATAATGTTGACTATATTGATTTATATTACRTCATTGTAAGCTATCTTTTATGGAGCAACCACAAACATCAAATATCGAGGTTTCTGATATGAATTAATGCACTGTTTATCGTTTCAGCTGGTTCTACCTTAAACAAACAACACAATATATGCCGTGTATCACAATAAAACAAAGATAAATAGCTACAAGTTGGTGGATCGTCATTTATTATTTCTGCTTATATATATATGTCTGTTCGTCAGTTGAGTTATCATTCACCATGTCTTGTTACTGTCTTGCAGTGCTATGCTGCTTCTTTGTGTTCAGTATGTCACAAATAACCAGTGGCATYTCAATGGTGCCGGGAGAACTTGGCAAAAGGTATCCGSTAAACAAGGTAAGCAGCAGTATGCTTGAGACCAAAATAACGTTTCTTAGAAATAATACAATAATTGAAAATTCGATGCGCCAAGGATGACGTTGAAAGTATTTAATTTATATTGCTATACGTCAAGCTTAAATACATATTTTACAAAGGTGTTTCCACAAAATTTCTACATACATTTTTAAACTACACATGGTGAATTATTTTGCAACAAAATGACAACAGATATCCATATACCTCGTCGATCGTTAAATGACTTTGTGTTATACCTAAATGACTGGTAATAWATAATCTCAATCAATACAATTTCAGGAATTAGGAGAAACTAATATGCTCTAAAATATCAAATATATATAGGCTTAAGTAAAGAGGAAGTCATTTTTTTGACCCATTAAGAGACCAATGTCTCTGACACTAGTTCACCGCTAGGTTTCACCAGATTTCACATATATAAATTCTACGCACGTTGAGGTCTTTAAAAACTAAACGCTCCTATTTCTGGGATWTATTCCTAACGTTATTTCATAAAAAAATACGACACAAGTAAAATATGTTTGATAATTAAGTTTATTGTGATATGAATTACGATACAACATTTAATGAAAACTGAATTTTCAATAAGCCGAGGAGCGAGGCCATTATCCTTTACATAAATTGAATCATATTCTGTTTGTTCATAGATGGGTGTGCTCAAARCCAATCATTATTGTCAAGAAGCTAAAGTTTTGTGTAGAAACAGCTTTCATAAAGATCAAAAGGGTTTTGACTGATCACAATACAACATCATCGGACTTCAAAAAGGACTTAAATCAAGCAATAATGCGCAATAACTTATAATATATTTTTGAAAGTGTTAACGAGAGCCAAAGATGAGGATTGTAACATTAAAATCATCATTACTTAGCAAAAGTGAAAATAAAAAAAAAACAGAACGATCTATCTTGTTACAAATAATTTCTCTGCAGCCGAGCTTCATTATGACTGATGATCATAGCATTTATCAAAAGCTTTCATTAACAGGTGCCAAATAAACGCAAAGGGTGATTGCATTGACAAATAAAAAGAGCTTCTTTTATTTTCACAGCAGTGTCTAGAATTTCAAAGCAATCTGGTGATATGACTTCGTGTTTCGGTGTATTGCTTTTGTTATTGGTTCCCACCGCACCACCCCTCCCCCCCCCCGTCTCTACGCCGCCCCTGTGGCCATCCTTGCTCCTCTTTTCTACTCTTCTCCATGTTCCATACCTTTTATCTTGTCAAATTCTGCGACAATTCAGTCTTTCAATGAAACTCATAGTAGATTCTGAAAGAGCTTTATTTCATACAATTTCTTACTTTACAAGGCATTTCATACTATAAAATGTCTAAAATCAACAAAGCCTTATCTCTTAGGYGACGGTTATACAATAGTTATAGCTACAATGTTGTGCCTGGCCTTGGATTTTGTATCCGTTTAAAGGCAACTTCTCATCCCTTTACTGAAAAGCTCTACAATGTTCTGCATTATTTTTCCTATATGCCTTGGGTTTTTAATCTTAATTCAAAGGTAACTTACAACTACAAAAGATCACAATAATTGATTACGTAATAAACTATGTAGATATATGCACATAGATTTATACAGTCATTCGAATATATTATGGCCTCTATAACTTATATAGCAGGCTAGTAACGAGGTAAATKTTTTTGCTGTTGATCCCGATCAAACCGGCCTAAAAACGTGATCCCGATCCCAAAACGTACATTTTGAGCCGTGATCCCCTTACAGAATCGTTGAAAAATATCATTGATCCCGATCCCAGTTGAAAAACCTTTGATCCCAGGTTAAATCCATTTGATCCGGATCCTGGGCCTAAATCCTGATCCCTGATCCCAAAATAGTCCAAAAAAATGACGCTGATCCCTGATCCCAAGACCTCGTTACTAGCCTGTATATAGAGATTCACGATCTTTTTTAGCTAGAAAAAAGTGTAAAATTTCATAGAATTACCCCTAGTGCACCCGATATAATGATTTATGCTAACGGTCAGAAGTTTTGCAAATGACTGTATACTGACTAAATAGATAAAATTGGGGCTCCCATTTATAAGAGATGCCTGTGCATCTGAACCAACCTGAACTTATAATAAATCAAAAAGTGTATTCTTAATGGCCATTATGGTTTTTCTCTAATTTTCAAAAATAAACTGCATTATGATTAGTCTTGTATAAGTAATACAAGTTGATCATTGAATTCTTAATCTATTATATGCTGTTCAAGCTGACTTACCAGTTAATTCCATACTCTAAACTGCATAGTTGTGCAGCTACTACAAAGCGACTGAAGCCATTCGTTAATGTCTTTATTTTGCGATTAAGTGCGTCAATATTCGTCTATTTTCATGACCATAGCAATGCTACTTCGTCTGCAACATGTCTTGTTCGTTATGTTCGTCAATTTGACACAGCGGTCATTCAGCGGTCTTGCTTGCTGATTTTCTCAGTATTTTGCTGCATCTGGCTATCAACCTGATGCAACTAGACAAGGTCATGACACTCAAGAAAAATGACTTTGAATGAATTTGTTTACCAGGTACCGATACTGCTACAATGCATAAGCAATTTTTGACTGTTTTTGAAATTCCATGCAGTACCTCAACATTATTCTTCCCGTTTTGCTGATTCAGTATCTGTCTTTTGTATGAATGTCTACAATTTTTGACCATCATCGGAATTACTTCTTTGTCGAGTAGCAGATCCTGTTGGCCCGGTTATTCTGCTTGACACTGGTTGTAACTCAACATCGTTTTGTCTGTTTACTGCCTGGTTTAATGCTTGCCTTCTTCTACACAGCACATTCTTGGCTGCTTCTCGAAAGTCAGATAGGAATATGATGTAGATGCACGGACTAAAGCAGGAATTGAGGACAGGTAGAAAAGACTGTATGACAAATCTGAAATTGGCATAGCAACTATACTGATCATATTTTTTTACGCGTTGAAAAGTGCGAATCTTGTAATTTTTAGCTTCACTAAAGTTAGAGATTAAGAAAGGGACCAAGCAACAGATGTAGAGCACTATAGATGCCAGAACCATTCGTACGGCTGCTCTTGTACGACTGAYTCGTATGCTTCGTTGTTCTTCGCTAAGGTGGGCTAGAATGTTGCCTTGAGGGATGGACAGCCGTCTGATGGTTAGAATAGTAAGAACGAGTATAACGAAGCATGCTATTAGTGCTGGAAGAGAAGCAAAAMAAGCAAAGATAATTCTTGCAGTTTCATTGCGGTCGTCGAACCGCCGTTCCCCTAACTGATTTGAATAACAAACGTGACTAAAAAACGTTCCACCTTCTGCATCATACGAATAGACTGCAGCAATTACCGTGGGAATCAACCAAGTAACACCAAGAATTGCAACGCGTTTTTTCACTGTGTAAGGTTGCGATATGTGCATTCGCCTTGTGACTTTGAACCTTTCAATGCTTATTATCAATAAAGTAATCAAAGATACTCTAAATGAAACGTGAAGAASAAACATTTGACTTTTGCAGAGTACAGCACCCAACGTGCCTCTGGAGTATATGTAGAAATTACCTCTCAAGGCGGGTATTTCAATTGATAGCTGCACAAGAAGAAAAATGATATCTGATACGGCCATGTTGATGATCAAATGATGCAGGCTCTTGCGCACTGTGTATTTAGCAGCGAGTGTGATGATGAAAAGGTTGAATATAATCCCCAGCACAGAGAAGAGCATAAAGGCAGTACGTCTAGCATTCTTTTCCACATCATTCCAACACGACGGGWATGGCGGCCATGTAAATATATCAGTGCTGTTCATCTTTGTGCAGTTTATCTGCTCTCTGCTTTTATCTCAGTAAGAAAACACAAATATTGGCACAGCTTCTGCTTCGATATACATGTTCACGAGAGGCTGATCCACGTATTTTCAATTGATGTTAGAGAAAACCAACTGGCTAAATAACGCACAGATGCRTCGAATTGTTAGCTGACTTGCAATTTTCTTCACTATTCAGCTTGCTGACARTTCGCCATAGTACAGTACAAGTATGCCTAATTGTATTTGATGTGATATGTCATTTACTCAGCATGCAATAACATTAGTCCTGTGGTATCTCTTTCTGTGGTATCTCTAGCTACTGTCTTTCTTTTACTAACCATACAGTCGTGTCTCATTCTTTTTATTTCTGATGGAAGAWTAAACAGATATGAGATGCAAATAATGGTGGAACATTCACTAACTGAAAAAGAGCTCATTAGTCAGCGTCATTTYARAYCATGAAAAGGGTCGGTGTGGTAAGAGAAAAAGAGAGTCTAACGTGTGTCAAGGTTACTCTAATAATGATGTGTCTTTCATAATGTGAACATATGCACACAGATGTGTGCTCATCAACTTCTTTTAGTCATCACTATGAGATCAATAAGGAAAGATCAGAAACAGCATAAGACTTTACTATTTTCACAGATTTCTTGCATTTGCCGGGCTGTTTATAATAACAACTTGATTATTTAAATAAACTAGACGCTCTGGGAGCGTGAAGTCGGACTAGCTGCTTGTGAAAATTGAGAAAGACAGGATATTACATGGATAAAAATATTTCTTAACTTTTTTTTCCAAAACAGCCGAACTCACGGTCTAATAAGAGCGTCTAGTTCAAAATATGCAAAATTTATTGAGACTTTAAATAAACTTGACCTAAAAGGTCATGTAATTAA